CCCTTGACTCGAAAGCTGGATCCGCCCCTGGTACCTGGGGATGAAGGAGTTGTAACTAAGGGATAATTATTATCAGCTAAATAAGTTAAACAAATTTAATCAATTTAAACAATAATTTGAATAAAGTTACGTATATCAGAATTTTTGCAACATCCTCTCTAAAAGATATGATCTGTATATTAAAATTTTTACGTCCATAGTTTTTAGGTATTACGAATGAGACATATTTAGATGGATTTCAAGATAAACAACGGCAAATCATTTAAAGCATGATAAACTGGTCTAAATTGCACAGAGGAATATTAACTTTTAAAAACACAAGCAACGCATCACTTTATACCTAGCGGTTTGGTGGGCAAAATAATTTTAGAAAGAAAAATCTATTACCAAATCTATTTATACATGTATATTTTCGTATATTCTTATAACTCACACATAAAATATAAGTGTTTAATAATAATAACAATAAATGCTACTACTAATCTGTATTTATCACTAATTATTAAGAACTAAGCTAAAATTACTTACTTGCTTATTACTAGTTACATTAAAACATAAACTATGTACTTAATTTTTCTTATATATGATCTTGCCTACAATGCCTACTACCTACTAAGTATATGTACTCAGTAGTATACTGATGTATATCCATGATACTAAAACTAACAGTTAGTTATAGTATCATGATGTATATGTCATATGTACTACTACCACTCTGATATTCTTCAGATTCGACGCTACATTCAACGGCTCAACGACTGGACAAATCTATAGTCACTTCATTTATTGGTAACAGTAGAAAATAGTTAAAAACGTATAGATATATATAGTCAGTTAACTTACCTTGAGAAAATCAACTCTTAGCAGGATTATACTATCACTAATTGTTAAATAGTAAATGTCTACTTGTTAAGTTTAATGTAATTACTAAAAATGCTCAATGCACAGACGAAATAAAAATGGACAAGAGCTGGCATCTGCTAGAAATGACCTTTTTTCACAAGAGGGATGTTTTGTGCCGCTCCACGGGTTGTCTTGAATGAAGTCATGTCATGAAAGAATGTCTTGAATGAAATCAAATTTGAATCACACCAGTTGGTGGCATTGATGTGTCATCTGGTAAACCATGCTTACGGTACATAATATCGCTGTCACCAAAAATTTGTTTTCATGTTCCTCTTTTAATATGTTACATCAATGTTATGTAAAAGCTTACATAAAAACTAAGTCACAGAAATTATTAGTCACATAATATTATAATGTTGCAAGTTTGGTTTGCTGGGGTGTATATCAACTTGACCTCAGCGTGAAAACCACTTTATCAGCAAATTCGAAAAATAATTTTTAAAAAGGACTTTTAAGATAATTTTTACTCACCGTGCACACGGTGAGACACTGCTTTTTGGACGTTCGTGATGGTACACTCTGTAAATGTGAAAGAAAAAGAGTCAACAAAATGTCCCTGATCAGGAGATTTAAAGTTTTCCTATTACATACCTTCGCAGTGCAAAACAAAATATGGATAATTAAGTACGATATAATTTGCTGAACGAGCACATTACTCAGCTGATCAAAAGACAACAAAAGGTATTAACGAAATATTGTAAGCCAAAAAGTCGATCTAAAATGGTTCCTGAGCCTAATAATATGAGTTCTAAGATGCATAAAATAATATAAACTGTTGAGATGTGATGGTGAAATGGTTCACAATTCAAACTTTATGCTGTTGAACTTACCGACTAACCATAAAGAGCGTCTTTTAAGTTTTTTTATTGGAAATTCACCATTGTTGAAAAAAAAGCAACTTCCTACCTGTTACTCTCTTTGCGAATCGCATTTTTTTCTTTTCTTTTTCAAATTTTGCTTTCTAATTTTTATTTTATGTCACTGATCTCGGTACAGATTCAAAAATGTCATACCCAGGTCATACCTGGTTTCTCAAATTGTCAAATATTCACAAATTGTCAGCATTTAAATTGTGCCTAAAATTGAAATTGCAAACTTTGACAAGAAATAATTGATTGAGAAAAGCAATTGATTTTTGATAGAAAAGATAATTAGTATATAAATACAACTTGAAATTAAATATGTTAAATGTCAATTTTTGCTGCTAATTTAAGTTATTTCGCGTTTTTCAAACCAGAGAAAAATTTACGGATTTTTTTACACGATAACTAGCTGAAATTACAGCAGTTTGTTAAATATGTTTAATATAATTTTTGAAAACTTTTCCTGAGGAGCCCCACCCAAATTCAGTTGATACCCGACAGAAACAACTTTGGATTCAAAGAAGCTTCAACTGGCAACGTTGTTCCGTCAACTCACTAATCACCGTTTCTGGCATTTCTACTGTCAATTGCGTCAAACCTACCATCAAGTTGTGTTTACCCATTAGATAAAACTGGGCGTAATTTGTTTTTTTCTATTACCAACTTCCAGTTCAATATCTGATGCAACAGCAAATATGATCTGCCAGTGAGTGAATGAATTTAAACTTTAGCAGTCACGTCAGGTCTTATAATCAAATCCGAAGTTATGGCACGACAAATGAGTCAATCTGAGCGAAAGCTCGCCGAAAAACTGGTCATTCTGAATGATAGAGGTCTTGGAATGCTCACCAGAATATATAACATTAAAAAGGCGTGTGCAGACTCTAAATCCAAGCCTGCGTTTTTATCGGATAAAAACTTGGAATCTTCCATCAAAAGCATTGTGAGGAGATTTCCCAATTTGGACGCCAAGAGCCTCATACCCATCCAGGGTCTTCGCAATGAAATAATCAAGTCTCTCTCATTGTACTACTTGACTTTTGTGGATTTGTTGGACTTTAAAGATCATGTTTGTGAGTTGCTGACTACCATGGATGCTTATCAAGTAGAACTCGACATTGCAATAAACTTTGACCTTACTAAGAATTACCTGGATTTGGTTACAACGTACGTTGCTCTTATGATACTGCTCTCTAGAGTCGAAGACCGCAAAGCTGTGTTAGGTCTATATAATGCCTCCTACGAAAGTGTAAACGGATCGACAGATGCCAATTTTCCTCGTTTAGGGTCTATGATTATGGATTACGACCTTCCATTTAAGAAGCTTTCTGAAGAGTTTGTTCCTCACTCGAAACTATTGAGTCAAGCTATAGCTTCGTTGGAAGCTATTTATATTCCACGAAATGTTACTGCTGAGATTTGGCGAGATGAACAGCAGATCTTAAGCCTAGTGGGAAATCCATCATTTTTGCTGAAACCTGTGAATACAGACAAGATGAGCTGCGAATTTCTTTCAATGGAGACCTTGGAGAGATGGATTGTTTTTGGCTTAATGTTAATTCATTCAGTTCTCCTTGATAGACATGGAGACCACTTTCACAAGTTGCTTATCAATGCCTTAGAAAGCTTCTGGATTTTACCATTGTTCAGGGATGAGGTTCTGTATATTCATCAGTATATCTGGTCGTATTTGGATACATTGAAAGGTATGGAAAATACTTTTTTAATATAGGTAATAGTATTGTTTGAGCTCATCTGATTCAAAGCCAAGTTCCAGATAGGGTAATTATAGTAACTAATATATCCAAACTTGGAAACACCTAATATGTGCCAAATAACAATATTTTTTTTACTTGAATTTCTTGATTTTGGAATATCACATAAAAGTAAAAATCATACACCCATCTAAGTGATATTCATGCCATTTTCAGGATATGGAAAGAAAATAAGTGACATAAAAGATGCCTACCAGCAAGCAGTTCAAAAAGCTGCTCACACCCATAGAGAAAGAAGAAAGTTTCTGCGTACCGCACTTAAGGAGATGGGATTAATTTTTGTCGACCAGCCGGGATTATTGGGGCCAAAAGCTTTACTCGTCTTTATGGGACTGGCCTACTCTCGAGATGAAGTTTTGTGGCTTCTAAGACACAACGAGAACCCTCCGCATCACAAAGCTAAAGGTATTTTCTTCTTTCTTTAAATTATTTAAAGAGGATTGTCGGCGTGAAATAAAACATATATAAATATAAAAAAAGCTCATTATAAATTAGGGAAATTTACGCTCAATTTCCGAATGTTGTTACATGTTGAAGAATGTCGTAACGATTTCGTAGCATATCTAGCGGACTATTTGGTTTTGATCGAAAAACTTGAATTGAAGTCCAAACAAATCATAATTTTATAACAGGGCTTGGAATTTTTGTTCATTTTTTTTACAAACAGTATTTAAAATAAGATGCGACAAAATATCCATATGAAAATATTAAATTGACAATATTTTGAAAACAAAACACTTCTGGATTATATACGCTTACACAAACTTGTCCTTATTTTTAATAGTGAATAAGACAAAAATATCAAAAAGGGGATTTTTTAATAGTAAAATCAGCGGGAAAACGAATTGGGACGTTTTTTGAACTTGAAGGATAACATTTTGAACATGATTTGAAATGCGGTTTTTGTTTCAAGGCAAATTTAACGTATATCAGCGGCTGCATCAAATTAAGTTTCTGTTTAAATTTTATTTCTCTATCTTCTAGAATTTGAATGTCATTGCGCAAAAATTTACTAAAAATACAAATTTGCAGAGCAAGACTGCGAAAAAGTGATTTACTTAGGAGTTCACTGTTTAATTGATTCTCAATAGTTATGTTAGTAAAATTGCGAATTTTTGCGTTTGTTGCTTTCAGGAAAATTAACTGAAGATCTTGTGGATCGTCATCTTCCTGAATTGCTCTTCCACATCGAAGACTTACGTGTGCTTGTCCGAAAATACAGCCAAGTGATGCAAAGATATTACGTACAGTATCTATCTCATTGGGACGCAATCGAATTGAAACAACAAATGCAAGCGTTGCAAAGTTGTCCGGATGATGAAGCAGTTATTTTATCCTCTTTATGTAATACCATTTCCGGATTGTCCGTTAAGCAAGTGGAAGAGAATGAAACGTTCAATTTTTTCGCCTTTAGATTGGATTGGTTGCGATTGCAGGCCTATACATCCACGCAACAATCGAAATTGAGATTAATGGAAGTGAGAGGATTAGGCCAGCTAATGGATATGGTTCAATTTCATACGAAAATGGTTGACAATCTAGACGAGATGTTACGTGAAACGTCGGATCTGTCCATATTTTGCTTCTACAATCGAGCATTCGAAACTCAGTTTCACATGTGTTTGGAATTTCCAGCTCAAAATCGTTATATTATTGCGTTTCCATCGATTTGCAGTCACTTCCAACTGTGCACCCATGAACTGTGCCCGGAAGAACGGCATCACATTAGAGAGCGAAGTTTGTCGGTTGTGAACATGTTTTTAGACGAAATGGCCAAAGAAGCCAAAAACATACTCACCGCAATCTGCGACGCACATTGCAAGATGAGCGACAAACTGTTACCAAAAAATTGTGCTCATTTAATATCGCTGCAAATGAACAGGAAGAAAAAGGAAAAAAACAAAAAAAATGCCGCAGAGTTTGAAAAACCTGGCATGGAAAGTTACAGGAAAACTCGAGAAAATTTAACAACCATGGACAAATTTCACATGGCCATAACAGAGCTGTGTTACGCCATTAACTATTTTTCCAACATTAACGTATGGGAGTATACTTTTGCGCCTCGCGAATATTTGCATCAACACTTGGAAAATAGATTTGCTAAAGCATTAGTAGGAATGGTGATGTACAATCCTGATACTAATGAAATTGCCAAACCGTCGGAGCTGTTGGTTTCCGTTCGATCTTACATGGATGTGTTGCAGACTGTTGAAAATTATGTACATATCGACATAACTCGCGTTTTTAACAATTGCCTATTACAGCAGACTCAAACTATGGATAGTCATGGAGAGAATACTATTGCATCAATTTATACAGAATGGTACTCTGAAGTACTACTTCGCAGAGTCACTACTGGCAGTATAATTTTCTCCAAGAACCAAAGATCATTTGTTAGCTTAACACTTGAAAGTACAATCCCATTCAATCCTGAAGAGTTTTCCGATGTTAATGAAATGAAGGCACTAGCCGAACTGATTGGCCCTTACGGTATGGGGCAGCTAAATGAAAACTTAGTGTGGCTAATTACGAACCAAGTTATGGAACTTAGGAAGTTAGCAGATATGAACAAGAACGTGCTGCTGGTGTTGAGGACGAGTTTTGATAAACCCGAAGTTATGAAAGAGCACTGTAAAAGATTAATAAATGCCGACAATGTTTTACAGCGAATGACTATTGTGGGAGTGATTTTGAGTTTTAGACAATTGGCGCAGTCTAGTTTAACTGATGTCTTGGAGCAACGAATACCATTTTTACTGAGTTCGATTTTAGACTTCAAACATTATCTACCCAGTGGTGATCCGATGAAGATTGTAAGCGAAATGACTTCGGCAGCTGGTTTAAGCTGCAAAGTAGATCCTTTATTACTATCTACACTAAGATTGCAAAAAATTCAATTCGAGTCCGATACTGAACATCTCCTTGTATGTTTGCTCATGGTGTTTGTCGCTGTTTCGATACCAAGACTCGCAAGACTAGAACAGTCGTTTTACAGGCCATCCTTGGAAGGACATACAAACAATATCCATTGTATGGCGTTGGCAGTAAACCATATTTTCGCGGTTCTTTTTACATTATGTGGCCAAAGCGACATCGAACAGCGAATGAAAGAATTTTTAGCTTTGGCTTCTTCGAGTTTGCTACGATTGGGCCAGGAAGCCGACAAAGACGCTGTAAAAAATAGGGAATCTGTATATTTGCTTTTGGATGAAATCGTCCAAGAATCGCCTTTTTTAACTATGGACTTGCTGGAATCGTGCTTTCCTTATGCACTGATCCGCAATGCTTATCACGACGTATATAAACTTGAGCAAAACATGTAAATTTTTAATATTTGGGAAAATTGGATGATTTTCAGTTCAAGGAAAGCTGAAAATACGTTTTAACAGTTCTAGAATTGCATTATATCTGAGATTTTTATTGATTGGATGTCGAAAATGGATTAAAATTTGATTTGTCCTTAATTTTTATTATTATTTTTATTATTGATTATAGTATTTTAGTTACAATTCACCACCTGCTGTGTTTAAGCTTGAACGATGCAGGGTGATTCGTCGTAGTGAACACTTTTAAGAAGTTTTTCTTGAGCTTATTCGAAGCTTATCGAAAAACGTTCTTATAAATATTTGCCAAATTTCGATCATCGTGTTTGCTTTAAATTATATACTTTTAATTAAAAAATTGTCCGGAAGGACTCTATGGAATGTACTTTGTAACTTTTAAAACACAAAGCTTGTTCAAATTAAAGTAAGTACAAATATGTTTCAATGTATCTAAGTATATATTTCTAGGTTAAGGCTATTTATTTTGTAGGCAACAGAAGTCTTATAGAATAGAATAATTTTTTATTAATTTACTACTATTTGAAGCATGATATTTGATCACATTTCAGTATGTAAAAATTCATATTTAAGATGAGATGACTTAAACTTGCAAAAATTCAATAAAATGACAAATTTATCATCGCAGAACTAAGAAATCAGGTGAACATTATGATAATCGAAAATAAACAGTTGGTTAGGCTAGGAAATAAGGAATAACAAGTAGAAATTCGTATAAAAACAACTATTTAATTTCCCTTATTTACATAAATATTGTTTTTACAATACCAGATACGGAGAATAGCATCAAATATATTATATTGATACACTAAACTTCTATGGGATGAAGACAAATAGTTTGAAAATCTTATTTTTTGCTTTTTGAGTAATTATCACATTTTCAAAAAATGTTAACAATAGTACATACAATTTTCACCCATTACAAAAATACCGTTTTCGCAAAGAAAATATTTCGTTTTTAAAATTAATGAGATCTGTAAAGAATCTGCACATTTTTTATATAGATATTTGTCGCAAGTTGATAATATAAATATACATAAAATGCTTTCATTGAAAAATTTTACAGTGGCCAGTCCCGAATTTCCGTGTCTCAAAATCTGTAATCTTGCGCGGATTGTGTTTGTTTGTTGTGCGCCTGTTTTTGCAGGAACTTCGAAGGAATGAATCAAAAAGTGTCGAATTAACAAAAGTCAATTTAAATCAATATTTGAAGAACATTAGCATAATAAATTTTGAGTTGCTTTCATGTTGCATTTGCATTCCACTGACGCGTTATTAAAAAACAATTGTTTTACCCTTAATATAAGAAAATCTTTTAATAGACAGATAAATAGTATATCTTAAATAAAATTTGACTTTGGCTTTGAAAGTACAGCAAATATTGAGCAATATTTCAACAAATGGAAACATGGATTTATACTCTTTTTAAAACTACCATGTAATTATTGGGGAATTATTGGAATTATGCTGAAAAATATCAAATTATGCAATTCATTCAAAGCAGAAAAAAACTCCATTAATCTCGCCAAAAACGGATCTTTCAAAGGTGTATGTAGGGAAACCGAAGAAAATATAATCGGTTAAAACTGAAGAGAAATAGTGTTTTTCTTTGGCCACTGCAAAATACAATGCCATGTGGTTAAACGTACCAACACGAAAGGAAGTATTTGCATATATAAATGATAGTTAAAGAATTTACATTGGTCTTAAAGTCAGAATATATAATATATGAGGTACAGGGCGCTTTTCTGATAATATAGTTGTTTACATTTGTTATAATCACAAAACAGCCTGCAATTTAAAATAAAGTTATATGCTTACTATAAAACAACTAGAGCGTCCAATAATACTTTAACTGTCCATGTACTTTATGTGGAATTTGAGTTACTCAATAAAAGAAGTAATAAAATATTTCATATATTTTTTAAATAACCTATTTGGATATTTGGTGCATCAATGGCAAATGGTACGACGTAGGTGAAGTAATAAAAAGTAGCTATACTGTAAAAATATTGGCAATGACACTAACATACCTTTGTTACTTTAACAATACAAGTGTTAAACAAAGTTCTGGGCATTGCGCCTCTGACTAACAATAAAATGGACAATATTTCTAATTGAAAATCTACAAAATGGAAATTCGAACAAGAAAATCAGCCTTGACTCAAAGAAAGCTAAATAATATCTTACACTGCTTCACAAAGCTTTCCTCAAGGTATAAAACTTAACACTAAACTAAAGGTGATTACGATCAGACAGAACAAGAACTGTTATGCAAAATCAAGATTTGCAAAAGTCATTTTTTACGAAGAAATTGATAAAAGTGTAAATACAGAGCCGCTTGTTTGATTCTGATAAATAATTTCAAAATAGCACAAATTCGTAATTTTACAAACATCTTGTTCTATGTTCACCCGTTTTTTTTTGACCAAATTACTTTTAGGGTAATTCACGCACACTTGAAAAATCTATGTTCAATCACAAAACACATGTTGGCTAACGCTTGCAGTACAGTTGCACAAGACTGGCCTAATCAGAAGGTTGCCTGGAACATAATCTGGGACATGCAGAAGAGTATCTTAGATGAGTTACATTATCAAAACATCAATCACAATGATTACTGAATTCAAAGCGAATGAAAAAAAGTTCCGCTGATTCCGAATGTTGCAACTCCCAAATTACGAAACAAACACTGAATCTGATGATCGTTCAGCTACGGATGCCAGGCCTGCATTCACATTCACACCTGGCAGAATTATCACTTCCGGACTGGATACTCTCGGTCGGGAAGTATTCACGTCCGGAACTCGCAAACTGCATCTTGCATCATGGTTTGTATCACTTGGTTGATCGAAGTTCAGTATTATGTTAGACAACATTGGGGTGCCTGGATAATCGGGCGGAGGAGACACCCTAGGAGGAGCAGTTAATTCACTGGTCCCTCCTTCATCCTATCAAATCAACATCGGTTATAAAAACGAGCAAAAAGTTTAGTGCAGTTGATTTTGAGATTTGAAGAAAAATTGTTGTTGCAAAAGTCTAAAATGTTCGCATTCATGTCGTTCAAAAAACGCATTCATTGGGAGTAAAATTAGTTCTAGGTACTTTTTGTTAAAGTAATGATTATTGAAGTTATTCCCAACCTTTATAGGTTGAGAATTATAACTCTATAATACAGTTTCAATCAAGAAAAATTGAATACTTTTACAATTGGAAATTTATATTTTCATATTTAAAAATTTTAATTTAAATAAAAAAAACGGTCCAACTTGTGATTTGTGTGATTTACAAATTGAAAAAATATATATATTAGCATGCTTAGGAACATCTGATGGAAAAAATGCTCAAGAAGTAATAGTTGACAAAGAAGACACAGGCCTTTATTGGTTTAGAAAAAATAATGTTTGCGTTATTATTAGAGTCCAAAAATTGCACGCAAAAGCATATAATAGAAAACAAATTTTAATGCAACCTAAAGCAGTCGCCGCTAGTTTTCAACGATTCAACAAAATCTTTTGAAGATGCGGCAGTTATCAGATAATTATATATTTTCTGAATATATAATATATTTTATAAAATATCCGAGCCGCACTTTAGTCAAATTCAAATTGGAAACAATTTCATAAAAAATTCGAGGCAGGTAGGTTAGCTACAAAAAGTATGAAACGTTTAAATCTTTCTTATAAGGTAGAAAAATGACAAAAACGGAAAACACGACGTTCATAAAAAATGGCAAATATAAATTACAGAACATTGCTTCTAAATCATAATGCGCATCTAATTAATTTAAATTGGCTTAAATAACAAATTTTAAACGCGCGTGTTTTGTTTTCACATAAAATCACGATTTCATTTCCATGCCATATTTGCTTTTGCCTAAAGAAATACTTACTTTCTGTCAGACTTTGTTTCTCATTTCATATGCTCCGGCATATTGATAGCTGGCAGCGGAAGGCGGTGCCGTGGCTAATGGAGAATAATCTGGTTAAGTTTGAAAACAAAAATATTTCATTAGTACGTGCCTGTGTGTTGTTACGCATATACTGCAAAAAATTATTGTTGATTCCTTTAACAATCAATTTCAAATGTTTTTCAATATATTGAAATTAAATCAAATTTAAATCCTAGTGATAAGGTGAAATAATGATCAATATCCGCTTCCAAAATACGAAACGATCGATCATCAATAGTGAGGTCTGATTCCTTAAAAAAAACAGTGAGATGTGGAATAGAAAGCAAAAAACGCAAAACTGTATACGTTATACGAAAATGATTATAAGACTAATGTTAATTATTAAATTCGGGTACATAATGAACATGTAAAAACACACATGACACAATACAACAACAAACTACAATGCAGTGACTATTTAGCGATGTTAGATGAATTAATAATGAAACATGTTTTCCACAATATGTGCTTTTTGGCATGTAATTGGCTGAACTGAAGCTGACAAGTTCAATCAGATCAAGTGTTTCAGATTTTGTAACAAAACTGCAAATAATGCAGATGCCCACAGTCCTACTCTCTTTTAGTAAACAGTTCCGAAAATATCTATTATTTTTCAACCGGCTGCCAATTAGATAACAAAAACAGTAGTTCTGGAGAAAAAAAAATAAGCATCAATCTTATCGATTGAGATTAAAAAGCTGTGAAAAATATGCGAAATTGGAGCAAATAGTGAATGATAAAAAATATTAAAAATCATGAACGTACATTTACTACTTTTACCTTTTGGGGCTTGATACTGACCCCGACCTTCTCCATACCCTTGTCTAGGACCTGCTTGACTAGAAGTGGGTCTTCCCGATCTATCGGGTCGACTTCGACCGGGAACCGGAACTGCCCGTCCAGCGGCACCGTGCGGATGCCTCTAAAATATGCAAAAAATAATATCATCAATACACTAACACAGGATTTTTATATTTTATAATGATATTGTTATTGAATTATAGTTATTGCTGTGTAAGTCTGGTCCTGTAGAGTCTTGAATTTTATTAAAACTTGACCCAAAAACACATTAACATAAATTTAATTTATCTCCAACAACTTTACTGTAGTCGAAAGTTAAGTTTTAAAAAATGTATATTTCTTACCATTCTTCTTAAAGTATTCATAGGTCTTCGTAATGTATCGCTAATTCTTCTAGCAGGCGGTTTCTTTGGATTAGACGAAGGTGTGTGTACTGCACAGCATTTAATAAACAGTCCCATGAAAATCATAAATGCTATACTCATCAACAGTACAGCCCACCAGTATTCAGTGATCCATTGCGCTACAGTAAGCAACGTTTGCTTATTAAGTAGTAAATTCATCAAACGAACTAGAGGGCCATCAGCATCGACTGCTCGACATTTGAGGAAAACATCACAATATCCCTGAATGAGAAAATCAAATTTTTGACTCACTAAGAAATTACGGGCTTAATTGAAGTTCCTAGAGGTTTTGATTTAATTATTGTCGAACTTACCTGGAAATTATCACATGGAGATCCAGGTCGCAAACTAATTCCTCCTGTTGGTAGGCCGACTTTCTCGGCAAATTCTCTAGTGCTTCTACAAATATCAGTACCATTTTGGCAAGCCAATTCACACAGCTCTCTTTTATTTATATCTGGCTTATCATGGCTATTGAGAGAGCAAGCTTGCAAGTTCCACTCAAGGCATATAGAGCCCAAGCATTCACCCTAAAAAAATTAATGAAATTCTGAAATCCGGATATACTTCACAGTAGCACGAATCCGGGGGTGGTATGGATCGTACGTGCAAAGTCAGAGAGAGGACACTAATGATGCCTATCGAAGTTAATGTCAATTAGTAGCATCTTTTGAACTCGGCGTGCACTGCTGACGGGGTAAATTGAGTAAGCTTAGAGGAATAGTAGCGTAGCCGGTTTCAAGCTCGGATAAAAACAAGGGTTCAGAAGTGAAGTTAGTGACCTGTACCGGCAAAAAAATGGTTATAGAAACGATCAGAGAGCCTCGGATATAAGACGAAACCACTTAAAGACGACCACCGCTAGAAATAGGTCTACGAGAAAGGATACCGAACTAAGAGTAGCATGCTGGAACATTAGATCGTGGAATAAGAGAGACAAGAGATACTTATAGAAATAAATACCCACAAAGTCGAAATATGGGCACTCTCGGACACCAGAAAGAGAGGAAAAAGAACAACAAAACACCAAAATTTTCTGCTGATATACAGGGTGTCCCGTAAGCACATGATCAAAAGGGTATTGCGATATTATTTGGATCAAAAAAAGACGATCTGACCCATTTATTAACAAAAAATTTCTGGCTCCTCTACTATTGATCGTAAAAATTCTTCAAAAAAATATATTTTTTTAAATATCGGCAGAATGGTACTATCGATTTTGGTAAAACTAGCTGTAAATTTGTTTTTATGGAAGACTCATATGTTGATAAAGCAATGTTAAACATTAACTGCATAGTGACCGAACTGCGAGAAAAACGTCCACGGTTGGCCCACAAAAAAGTCCTTTCCCATCACGATAACGCACCAGCTCGCCGACCACAACTCGTTGCACATCCCCGCTATTCTCCAGACTTGGCTCCCTCGGACTATTATGTGTTCGACAATATGAAGACATGGCGGGCGGAAAAAGATTTTACTCAAACGAAGTGATTGCAGAAACGAATGTCTATTTTACAGACTTGAACCAATCCTATTATTCGGAAGGGATCAACAGACAAGAGCACATTGGACGAAGTGGATTAGTCTAAAACTAGATTACCTATGTTGAAAAATATAAATAATCTATCGTAAAAAAATAAGTAGTTTTCATTTTTTAACAGACTTTTCAAACCACCCTCGTACTATTTAGGATTAACTCAATGCCTGCAGCAAAAGTTATAAAATGAACTAATTAGTTGAATCGAAAATACGTCCGATAAATATCTCTTAATAATAACCCTAAATTATTTGCTGGTTAATGAACTTACCTTGATGCAAAGTTGAGTTCCGTTATTGCATTTCGTTTTATCCGGTCGAGGCTGTGGAGACGGACATTCGGCACTTTTTCCATTGCAATGTGAAGACATGGAACAATCGGACTCAGTTTTACATAGTTCGCGCTCATAAGGTTGTATAAATTTGCATGTATCTCCATTACAGCACGGGCCTTGGCTAGGACTGAAATTAGTTTAAAATTTTTTAAACAATTCCTCTCAAACATTCTAATACTTCTAATAAAATGTGTGTAATGTTTTTTACCTGCATTCGGTTCCCCGGGGGCGTCTACAACCAGTGGCGTTGATATTCCTTTGTCGATCTTCAATGCTGATAATTCGGGGATAACAACATTTATCCTGGCACTCATTGTCGTCGTAACCACAATCGCATTCTTCTCCAGCTTCCACAATTTTATTTCCGCAAAAGGCACCTATGATTAGACACGTTAGCCATTTATTCCCATTTAATAAATTAAATTTCTAAGCTTAATTTCAATTAGTTCAAGTGTTTAAGAAATGCGTAGCAAAAGTCTGAACATATCGCTTACCTGCAGATGCTGTAAAACAATTCCTCTTCTTATTGTCATCTATTGCATCTAACACGTTACTAATATTGCCAATAGAACAACTAGAAAATTTGCTATTGTTAGGTCTGTCTCCACTGGTTGCCGAGGCAAACATTATAAAATTCCCATTCAATCCACCAGGTCGACATTCCTGTGGAAAGTCATGCTAAAATGTTAAAACGATTAAATCAATATGCATTGTAACAGTTTATTATCAAACTGCTTACAGGTGAGCCGAAGTTGTGTCCAATTTCATGAGCAAGAGTCAGTTGAGAGACTTTAGGCGGGACGCGACTGTTGTAGTTGACAAAAGTGATAATTCCGGTGTTTAAAGATCTTTTCGTGGACTGGTACATACCACCTACAAAACAATAAAAATCAACATATAAAATGAAGGAACTTACTAGGGCTAATTTTAAGGAAACAATAAGCAAAACTTATAAATTGTGTTCACCTATAGTCTCGGTGTAAGTTTTGTATTTTTCGCAAATCCCTCCTGAAGCGCCGGAAGCACTGGCGACCCAGGCCAAGCCTAAAGTGCCTCCAGTAAAATCTCTATAAGTGAACACATATGCAAGGCAGAAGTCTTCGTGATTTCCCAACGAGTGAATATTTAGGAAATTGCTAACGTCGATATTTTCCAGGCAGAACTGATTCATGTCACCGCAATGGTGATGAGTACATTTACATGAGGAATCATCATCGATCTGAAATCATCAAGTTTTAGAATATCTTAGGAGTTTAGGGAAATAGCGAATACAATTTACGAGCTGTAAACAGTTACATGTTTAAGCTCTTTTGCAAAATGAAGTTCTTCATATAAGCAACACGCATAAATGAATATCTAAAACGATATAAGAATAACAATTTCTGAAGAATTATTTACCTTGATTCTCTGTACTTCAAATTTAATATTCCTATGTTCGCTTCTACCATCAAATTTCGTATCCCTATAGATGTAATTAACGGCAGTGACGTGATGAGCAATCAAAGATAAAATTTCTTCCCTTGTTTTCTCATTAACTTCGCTCTCCTTTCGTGGATCAGTGTGCTGCAAATGAACAAAATCCGCCTTGTAAGATTGCCAATAATAAAATGCTTTCTTTATTTTAAATAACGAAACTAAGAATTATTATACGAAATTAAATCATGTAAAGTCATTGATGTGAGAATTATAATGGAAAATTGCTATTGGAATTGACCCGAATAACCTCATTTTAAGTGCATCCATTTAATAGAATTTAGCATATTAACAGCCTATTTAATGTTTAATGTATGCAAATTAGAATGCACTATTTTCAAATGCAATAATGCGCTTGAATCTAATTTAAATAAATCACTTATTTAAAGTTCATGTTTGATGTCAAATACATTTGTTATTTGCATGTAACAATTTGCATTATTATAAAAATAATAAATAAATAACGCAAAAAGCAACATAACTAAAACTGCAACTAGCAGTATCATATTAAAGTCAATATTAAACAAAAACAAATAAAATTACGCACCTCTGGAAAGGTTTCCCTAATATGCCTCCAAATAAGCGGATCAGTTTGTATGTATAGAGAGCAAGTGTTCTTCTTGTCGTCCCTTCGAGCTGCTCTTTTATGCCGTGAAAAGTTTTGATTGGCTTCCTTTGAATACTTCTTAAAGCCAGCCTCATAGCTCGATTTGGGGTTCACTGGACTACCATTCACTTTATTAGTTAATATCTGGTTCGTTTCATCTTTGGAAAGCAGTTTCACTAATTTTGATGTATTATGAGGTTTTTCCAGCGATGTTGGAAATGGATCGGGCACTACTGTGTTGTGAATTGAATCCATCCAAGCAATCACCTCATCATTAATACCACAACCAGCTGAATGACCTAAAATATTTAAAAAACAACTTTTTAATAAACTAGTTCTTATAAAAAATTCTTATAAAATTTATGTTTTTCATAGTGATAATTGAAATACTTTTTACTTTTAATCGGGATACCTATGGAGCTTAAATTGAATTCTACAGTAACTTTTAATTAAAAATAACCAGAGGCTTATGCAAACGGGCCATACGTAATACTAGCTCGGCTAATTTAATTTAATTAAAATATTGTCTTCAAAAGTTCAAATTCCAATATGTGCCTCTCAGAGCATGGGATTTTCCATGGCTCATCCTACCAGTATATTTCAAAGTCATCGATGGATGAACTGATCGGTTCGCATAAATTTACATGCATTAGCTGGCTGTTATGCTTTTATTTTAAACTAGTCAGTTATTCCATATTATTTGAATAATCATTTTCATTGTATTATGTGTGTTTCTGTGAGGTTTCCTTTGAATTAAATAAATTCATAAAGTGACAACATGCTAACAATCCTCCACATTACACTGAAGAGCAGAACATGAGTTCTTGGGAGATTGACGGCAATTATTTAATGCTCAATTGGAAAAAAAACTGTAATATGACAATTTCCTAAACAGTATGTAAAAATGCTAATAGACATTTAGTCTTTAGTTTTAGTAATTACTTGTATAAAAGATTGTATAAAAGATTAACAGTGTTAAAGGAAATTTATTGTAATAGTCCTATAAAACCTCAATTTTCACTATATGATTTACAACATTATTAGCATATTAACACAATACTCTAATATAACAAAAGTTGTCACGCATCGCTAATAAGTGGACCTAAAAAATATGCCCAATATTGCCGAAAATGAATCAACATTAAATCTGAATTCTGACCTCATTAGTTCCCTTTAGGCCGTGGTTTCATTATTGATGATCTTATCGAAAGGGGCCAACTAAACCCTTCACTTTTTTCGCGCAAATTGCAAGCAAACTGATAAAAATACGATTTCCTCCATATTAAGAAATGAATTGCATTTATATATAAATCAAGGCAGTAACTGCAAATGAATATGATTCATTTTTAAATAAGCAAATTGCAAATACAGAAGGAAAAATAATGTTTGATTGGAAATCTAGCAATTACTGTGTTGTAGTATATTTATTTATATCAGGAACTGTCTACCTTCTCGCATGGCTTCGTACGGGTCATGTACGTGATCTTCATGGTAAATTACCGAATGAAATGTTCGGTTTGGATGGGTTTTCTGTGGAAAATAATGATGCGCCTTCTCTACATAGTACGACCCACTAGGCGAAACAATTTTTCCTTCGAAAACTCCTTCTGATATGGAGCCAAATACTTTACTGTCAGGTTCACCTGAAAAAAAATAGATTAACGTAATTAATGTATGCCACTAGAGGGATGAAAAGCGGAAAGCCGATGAACAGAAAATGGTAAAAAATTTCGGTATTGGGTATCTCAAATGAAATTTAATGCTAGCTAATTTACCCGATTCCTGGTAAAAAACAATAGATCGTGAGAAAAAAACATCAAACCAAACCATCAATTTACTTTTACGAATTGGGATATAATATAATGTTTGTATTTATATACTTTGGACTGTTGTTACTTGCCAACCAGTTGTGAATTGAGACGAATTAACAGGTAAAAAGCAAAAAAGAAGGAAAAAGCGCTTTCTCAAGCTGGAAGGCTTCTTATACTTCAACTGAAATTTAAAACCAGGTATTTCAGACTGAGATTGAATGAAATTGAAATCATGGCAAAGTGCAAAGTAAATGTTTTATTTATGACTTGGATATGTGAGCAACTAGCTGAGAATTCGTATACACATTTTTAAAAATTAAATAAGAAGCATCACTTTAAGAACCGATTTAATGTATCACTTGAGTACAAATGGAATCTCAAAACTTCATTTATCGTTTACATTACCGACTAGATCGCACTTTTAGAGATTGCCAATTTCTCATGCATATGAGAGTAGATGTCTAGATAATCTGAAACGAGCAAATTAGACATTTATGCGCAAAATATCTGTGGGAAATCTCAATTGTTGCAAACTAGTCAGGGCTCTGGCAATATAACGACTAGACGAAAAATGTATATTGCTTATATGGTGGTGAAATTATATTTATGGTGGTGAAATTTCAACCGATGTTCGAACATTCAGGGAAAAAAGTTCATCTGATATGAAAATTTAATCATGTAAAATTCACTTCTCTATACGGTTTGGGTTAAAAATGGACTGAAATACTTCAAGACAGATCTAATCTAACTACATAAAAAGTGATCCATTAAGTTCATTCTGATGGATCTGTTTTGAAGAGTTTAACTTTCGAACCGAAGTTGCGAAGCTGTCCAACTTAATTATTATAATAGCTCAAGTTTCCTTTGCATCTTGTCCCTTTTCTGCGAGATAAAACTTTGATGGGTCGTCGCATATTCATTAAGAATACTTCCTGGATATCAGAGATATTTTACCAACAGCATCAAACTTACCCAGTATATGTCCACTGTAGACATGTGCCGTATCCATATCTATTCTTTGGCCTTTATCATCTAAAACTTCCAGCTTGTCGCTGAACACCTCCAAATCACGTTTCAACCGCAATCGAAAATGGCGCTGATGTGCGCTGAACGATAAATAGACATTGTTGTTGCTGACCAGCGACCGTTTGCTACGCAAATGGGCATTGTGAACTGCTTTGGTGTCGTAGCTGAGTGGCTCGTAGTAGCTGATGTATTCACTTAGATTATTAGCTGCAAAAAATAAATGATGTTTGAAAAGCATTCATGCGTCACGTGAAAAATAAAAAAACCGCAAAAACATCCACTGTAATATAATTTTGGTAAGATATCAATTTGCCCCCACCTGTGCCAATTCAGTTGAGTCAATCAACTAATAAATAAAAAAGTTATTTCTAGTTTTCATTACGTTAACAGATAATTAGTATTTTCAATACGTATTTCTGCTACCTATTGCTCGCCGTTATTTCTGCTTTTTATGGCCATAATAAACATTACAATTAAAAGATTTGCTATAATAATCAAACATAGCCGTAAAAGTGTTTTAATGAGTCAGCATTAGAATAGAAAAAATCCTATATATTTCTCTGAATTTCCAAAGTCAATCAAGTAAGTCTAAAGCATATGTATCTATAGATCAATCCATCAATAATTATTGCCATACAGTGTATAAAATCGAAACCCCATTGGAAAATGCTTATGGCAGCCGCTGAACATAAACAATTTACAATGCAGATGATGCATATGTTTTGCGTCTGTTTGTGGTAGTTAAAGTTGCTTCGTTAATAAGATAATTAAAACGAATTAATAATGAGTACCAGGGAACACGGAATTAGTTGAAGCAAAATAAAGTRGAAAATACATGAAACCAGCATTGATATGTTGTTCGATTTGACACCCGTTAGCTGGGCGAGATAGATAAATAATTCAATGCTTAATCCATTAAAGTTACCTCAATTTGAAGCAAAAACAATCAAGATAAATTAATTTATATTATACCAAAATAGATAAACTCAATAATTATTTACGTATATATTTGGCCGACTTTAGATGCGGGATGAATATGGATTCCTTCTCATCRTGGCCTTCTCATGAAGGCTTACCCGAAACGGTATTCATTGTTTATTCCGAAACACGTAAGGGTATCAAACAATTTTACATTCCTCTTAACGCTTGAAAATTTAACAATGAAAACAGCAAACATGGTCGTAAATACTTGTAATGAAGTACAAAACAGTGTACTTCAACACAATAGGAAAAACTCAAGGGTATCGTTCCGTTCCACCCTAACTTGGAATGGAAAATGTTGAAAATTATCTTTAATAAATAATATCCTTCAACTGACCACGGAACGAACATTTTGAAATGTGCGTATAAAAAAGATAAGCTATATGCGGATATGACGGGCTCTTATTGTTTGAAATTATGAAATTAAATAAGAGAACATGTATGTACATTCGTTTATGAGTATGTTAGTCAAATAAATACCAGTAACAAATGAATCTAGTGTAAATAAAATAATTTATTACGTATCAAACATTCGCAACTCAACAAATAAATGCCTAACCCTTACGTGTTTGCTCTCTGATAAAAATTTCCACGTACAACTTAATTTTCTCTTTAAACGGATAGTTTTTCTCTGTTCTAATTAAGCAGATTTTTTATATTGATATAATTTACAGCACTGTTGAAGTAATTACTGCTCAGTTTGTTAATGACCTAATAAATTCGAGTTAATCGCTTTATTAAACTGTTCCGAGCAATAAAAAAGAACCTAAAAAACAAAGTAAGAATGTTTCATTAAATTCTACCCTACATTGGGTAAAACATGCCAAAGAAAAATGTTTCAACGTTATATTTTGTACACGCATTCAAGATGGTGGAAAATAAATATAATTCAGACAGACAAATAATTTTTATCGAAAAAATACAGACTGTAATTGCCGATGTGTATTACAGCAATAACATTTTTAGTAATATCGAAAAAATAAAACAGCTATAAGTACCTACTCTATGCAGGGTGTCCCGGAATATGTGGGCATGCTCTCGGATTTGTACAGAGGAAGTTAAAAAAAAACATAACAAGTTTCTATAAAAAAGATTCCACAGAATGCCCCTACGGATATACAGGTCTCGAAAGGAGCCACCTGAGAATCGATTTTTTTTAGAATACTTCATGCAATTTAATTATTTTTTCATACATTGAACAGTATCACATTGAACATCATTGCTTTTAAAAATGACCAATGAAAACATTTTAAGCATTTCGGTTTGCCAGAGATGGACTAGGTGGAGCACAATAATAGTTATTTTTTTACCCTTTACAATAAAGACACGAAAATAATGTATTTAGGAATAAGATAACATTAAGCTAAAAAAAGACACTCTTGATTGATATCCATAAACAGAACGGTTTTCGAGGAAAAAATATTTTTATTGAATACGGATTTTAGTGCATGCATTGGTGGGTTGTGTATTGTGTTATTTATTAGTTGGTTTTTTAACCTGCAAAAGTAAGGTAAAAATTATTTGTCACTGAGGGTCAGTTAGCGATAGAGTTTGCTACTTTTTGCAACTTATTAAAATTTATCTTATTCATAAATTCCATTTTTTTCGTTATTGCATTTACGTTTTCGGAATATGCTGACATGCACTTAATGTATTAATGTGTGCCAAAAGGCTTTATGCGGAACGATTTCCAAACCGAAAAGTACTGGATAGAAATCCATTTGAAAAAGTGGGTCGTCGTTTAAGAGAGACGGGTAATAAAAAAATGTCTGTACTTGCATTATCGCACTTTTTGAGTAGGTGAAATAATTCCTTCCGTAAATTATTTTAGGAACGTTTGCCAAAGCCGAATACAATTCTGGAAACCAAGTGAATCGCAAGGCGGATGATGAAGAAGATATTTTAATTGCGGTAGAAGCAGATCCCAATAAGTGTCCTCAAATTAAGTGCACGGTTTCATTGTCCAAAATCTACAGTTTTTAGGATCGTTAAGTAACAGCAATTGCATCATTATCACCTACAAAAGGTTCATGCACTTCTTCCTGAAGACCATCCACGAAGGATGGAATTTTTAAACTGGCTTTTACGTGTGCACAGAATAATAATTATTGGCTGGAATATACATAATGTATGACGAGGCAATGTGTTCATGTTCAAGCATTGTGAAGAACGCAACAATCTACAATTCTTCGAGCTAGGGAGGGCATAAGATTGCAAGGAGCTCATGTTGAACCTACATACAAAAATTACATACAATAAACATATTTTTCCTCAAAAACCGGTCTGTTTATCGATATGAATCAAAAGTGTACTTTTTAGTTTAAGGTTAAAGCTACCTAAAAACATTATTGTCGTGTCTTCATTGTAAAGAGTAAACAAATTAAGTGTTATTGTGCTCCACCTAGTTCATCCCTAGCAAACCGAATTGCTAAAATCGTTTTCCTGGGTCCTTTTTAAGAGCAATGATTCATTGTATGAAAAAAATTATTAAATTGCCTGGTATTCTAAAATTTATTGAAAAAAAATCGATTTTCAGCTGAGAACCTAGGTGGCTCCTTTCGAGGCCTGTATCTCCGTAGGGGGTCCTCTAGAATATTTTTTTATTGAAATTTATTATGCTTTTTAATGTCCCCTATACAAATCCGGGAGCTTGCCCACATAGTCCGGGACACCCTGTATAATAAAAGTTATTCATGATTATTATTACCTTGTTAATTTTCAAATAAAACCGTATTAGCCTTGATAAAGTGTTCCGGATGTTGAGACATTGTCGTGCCTGGTTTATTTATACACGGTTGCTCATTAGTGCGTCAAAGTGCGATATCTCAGTAAATATGAAGTTTACAAGAAAATTCGTCCAACCAAAGTTTTTCCCGTTTAAAAGGTCCACATTCTAAAATTACTTTCCAATATACAGGGTGCATCATAAACGTGTGGTAGTTACCAACTCTGGTTTTTTAAATGAAACCCCTTTTTTTTGTTATTTTCAGATTGGCCGTTCAATTTTAATTTATGTTTGTTTCAACCGTTTTACCTGAAAAATTTACGATTTCCGAGTTATTCGTAAAAATGTGAAAGTTTTGACAGCTACTGGGTTCCACAGAAATCGATGCTGTACACTACCCGCTGCGAATTTGGGAAAACAGTTTTCAGCGCTTCTAACAGAACATCATGATCTACGTGTAGATATGTTTTAAATTATAAGGAAATACTTCTAAACCGCGCAATTAGCCTCTAAACTTGCATGTTTT